CATTTTTGCCTGAATCTGATAAAGTTCTTAAATACATTCTGCAGGTACGTGCTTAATAAGCTTAAAAATATAGTATCAATAGGCTGCTCACTGATTTGAAATTAGACATGTTTATTTCTTCTGCTGAATTTATAGCTATAGCAGTAAAAATTAATCAGCACTGATTTACAGTATTGTGAATATCAGTACAGATTGCTTATGCTGCTTGGTGAGACTGAGTCCTTTCCATTAATATCAAACATAGTGCCTCAAAGAGAAGTAGCTTATTTTATTAGCTGCAGAGGTAATTTAAGATCTTAAAAATTAATTGAAAAGAGACAAGCTTAATCCTCTGAGTCTGCATGCTGCAGGTGAGGTAAATAGTTGGAGTTTCCAAGTTATCTTGAACCTGAATGTGGGAGCATTGCTATTATTTATTTACAGAAGCTTGAAACAGTCCTTCCTCTTCTGCAATGAAAATCACAGCCACAGGCTTTAGTCATTCACAGGAAAATAAAATCAATAGTTTATTCCATTATTCAGCACTGTGTATAATTTGTATAACAAGAAGCTTTAATAGATGTTTTTCAAGTTTTCCTTGGTTATGGAATTGATTGTGGGTGAGGGGATCTTATGGACCCCTCCTAGGCTGTATTATAAATCTTTCCACAGCCACACAAATACTCATAGCAAGCCTAGGGTTTTTTCCCTCCTTTGTATTTTTTTTTCTTTACAAATACATGGATAAAGCAATTAAGTTTTACATTTTGTCTTAAGTATTTGCTTTTGTACATTGAGGACTTCAAGGACTTAACTGCATCTATGCAGATTTGGAGTGTAAATGTTATTTCATTGTTTACACTGAGAATTTAGCAGATAGTGAAATTCCTTCTATAGATTTATTGCCTTCTTTCTAAGTTGTTATCATTTCTTTAACTGTGATTTGTCATTTCATCTAAAACAGACCAAGTATCTTGTAAGGGATGTATGGATGTATGATTTTCATTATTGTGTCTAGACATAGATGGAGTAAATTACCAAAATATTCTGTATACTTACTATTACACCAGTTAACTTGTAGTGAATAGCCTATCTGTTGCCAGGGAAATTTTTAATCTGGAAAAATTTTAGTAGTCCTGTTTATCAGAGAGGGTAAAAGGAAGATCCAGGTATTAGCTGATTCAAGATCATTCTCAGGATTTAGTCTGATCCATTTTTAAATGTCTCAGAGAGGGAAGTTTCTGCCATGTGTTTCAGTGAAGATATTTTAAAAATCAGTGGTTGAATTAATGTGATTTTATGACTCTGATTCCCCTGAACAGCTTCAATCAATTTTCCAACCCCACCAAACATTTTGAAGAGTACTTTTGTGTAAATTAATTACAGAAACTAATTATTAGAATCTCTCTGAAGCAAACAGTGAAATCAAATGTTGTGCTCTTTAATAACTCAGATTTTAAAATACATTATTACATGCTGTTGTTTTTTCTTTTTGATATTAAAAAAAAGCCCAACAAAACAACCAAACTCTGAGAGCATTGGTCAGTTTACCCATGAGGAGAGAATATAGAGGCAAGGAACCCTTTCTACTGAATAGACAAATCCCTTGTCCCATTATCTGTGTGCTCACATGTAAAATGTAGCACCAAAAATAATATGCTTCAAAGAAACCTGTAGTTTCATATATATATATATATATATATATATATATATATATATATATATATCAGTAACTGATTATGGTTTTTGCTTCATTAGATATACAAATAGGCTGATAACCATGTGCTGCCAAACATTATAAAGCACAATGGATAAGAGAACAGCAGTTTATCTTTAGCTAGTGTCCCAATTGAGCTGCTTTATGAATGGCAGGATTTTCCTTTATTTCAGACCAAGTTTTATTGGTCTAATATTAAAAGTAGAATTTAGTCCTCTTCCTTCCTGACAGATAATCTGTTCAGAGTACTTGAGCTGTCCCAAGGTAGCTCCCAGCACATTATCATGTTGCATTTTGTGGTCAAGACAATCATCTACCAAGGACAATTTAACAACTCTTATGAGTTTATTTGAAGCGATAAATTTCATTTGCAGAGGAAAATACTTTGCTGTTGCTCTGATTTCCTAAAGTTGTCTTTATGCCAAAGTCACCTTGTCCTTAGAAAGGGTAAAAATGTCTGTAGAGGTTTATAATGGATACTTTCATGTCCATGATTTTTCAGTTAGATTTACATGTTGAGTTTATATTTCTGTTCATAGTGTTAATATGACTAAGAAAAAAGCTGCAGCAAACCACAATCCAGACACAGGGCAGTGTGTTGTTTTGTGGAGCACTAATAAATTAATCCATTAGTGACTGCAAATTTATTTTCTCTTGTCCTCGTTATCAAGTATTCACAGGTGTGTTTGTATTTAGCCAGTCTAAATTAAAAGGGCTTTAATACTAGCAACACATTACCATAGTGCCAGGACCACAAGGCACAGTATTTTTCCCACATCAACATGAAAATGGAGAAATACTGATAAAATAAAAAATAAAAGTGAATAATCTTCCTATCTGAGAAATATATTAGTTTCTAAGAACATAGCAATACCAGAAAGAAAGAAGAAACCACAATAACAAAAGTAAAATACAGTCACATTATTTGGTTAATGACCCCATCTTGTGGAGCAGCACCCACGCTTCAGCACATTTATAGCTCTCATATGCATTTTTTTTGTACCAGAGTCCATTTGCTGACAATGAATTAGTTGACATTGCATTTGCTGTGTCCAGGGAAGTGCTGTGCAGGCTGTTCATCACCAGGGCTGCACAGCAATAGAACAGTTCTTTGTCACACCATGAATTGCAGGGTCAATACTTCACATTTTAGTGTTTGGTTCAGTCTCAGGTCACCACAACAGCTCACATCCCCCACCAGACCTGCTGGGAGAGTTGCTGTTGGTAGGAGGGGAGAAAGCCGTCTCCAAAGCTGGAGCCTGCAGAGTCACTGATTTGCACCACAGCAGTGCCAGTGAGAGCATTCACTGGTGCCTGGTCACCAAGGGGCAGTGATGGCCATAACCAGAGCCAGGGTGTGCTGATCTGCCAGAGTTACCATTTCCTTGCTTTCTGTTCCCAAAGAGCTGCTCACAGGGCTTGCTGAGCTACTGCTTGATCGGCAGCTTGGATATTTTTTTTGTAAAGGTTTATCCCACTGGACATCCTTTTATCGTAATCTGGGGAAATCAGCTTTGTCAGCAGTATATAGTGTGCTGGTTGCTGAAGTTGTGTGCACGTGAGATATTAAAAATAAATCACCTGATATGTTTCCACACTTTCCAGCTGAACATGTTTCCCAGGAAGGTTCCATATATCTTTGATTCTCACCTAAGTATAAGCCACTCAAATATGAACTGAAATGCCTTTTTTCATCCTTTTAAAGGAAAAGTATATTTTGTATCTATTTTTTGAGGAAGTGATTTTTAACCATGTTGGTGAACTCAAAGGGAGAATTGTATGTTGCAAATGGAAAACAAGTAGAGAAGGTGCATAGCCACGTTAGGAAAGAAGAAATTTTTTTTCAGCTGTTGTACATAGACTTAAGATGATGATACTATATGGTCTTCCTCCATGTGTCAATATCTTTAGTTCCTTGGAGACCAGATTATGGTGCTTTGGTCTCTGCTGTCTGTTTTTAAAGTAAGGAATTTTCTACTGCATTTTGATCTGATTTACAGAAGGAATCAAAGGTGTGAATTGCATGTAGATAACGTTTGCAGATTTCACAGGTACAGAAAATTAGGGAAAAAAGCTACAAATCTTTGTAAATATAATATGTTTGATGCACTTTTCATATATCTCATGCTTTTATAAGAACTCCATTCCACATCCCTGTCAAATGTGCTAGGGATGTTTGTAAATGATATTTGTATGTGAGTGCAGGAATACAGATTAGAAGATCATTATATGGAATACATATATGCATGGTTTTGAGTCATGTATTTTCAAAAGGAAAGATTCATTTGTCACTAAACTTGCATAATGTGCCTTCCCTAACACCATGCTAACAAGGTGTTTATGCCATATACCATCATCTTGTGTTCTTTACTTTTGGGGTACATGAAAATAAAGCGTGGAGCTTATCAGCTGTTCTATAAATTTGTATGCTAAGTGAACTGAGCAAGCTGATGCTCAGTGCCTTCCTCTGGGTGGATTGAAAGGGTGCAAAAGGTGAAGAATTCCCAGCATTTTCAACAGAAACCCAAATATTCCATAATCTCATCACAGGTACCAGAGTTGTCAATAAAATGAAGTGTTTAAACTAACTCTTGGTTTATGTTGGAAAATCTTTTAGCTTTGCTATGTAGTTTTTAGAGGACTCTAATTCATTATGTAAAAAAAGAACCCTGAAATGTTTAGAAATGCATGTGATAACTCAGTGTTCTAAAAATGTTATGGTTTTTGCTTCACTTTGTGATGTCTTGAAATTATTGCATGCTGTCTGTTGATGGCCAGGTTGGGAAGGTGGCTTCCCTTTGCTGCTGTTGGATTTTGTTGTGCAGCAGAGAGCAGGCAGGAGTCACGTTGGGTGCAAGTGTGGCTGCTGTGCTGAGGTGAGAGCTGCCAAACTCATTGAAAGCCTTCCATTCATCTCTTCAGGTTTTGGTCCCTGACAGAGAAAAGGAAAGGAAAATCCTTGTCTAACTAAGGACAGTGGTGAGCAGGTTGAGAGAGGAGTTCCAGGAGGATGGGGAAATGAAATCTTTTTAGGTAGCTGCCTTGAACATAAAGTCAAATATAAGGGCATTCATTTCCTATCCCAAATGCACATCTCTTCATGTGACAGCTGAGTGCCCTAAACTCCACCTTAGGATTGCCTTTGAGGGTCAGAGCTGTGCCTTTGTTTTGACCTGTACCCACACAGTGGGCCCTGACCCCACATGTTCTGCAGCACTGCCATATCAAGATCAATTTATATTTTACTGTTTCTAACATTTCTGTTTCTTTTCTCTTTTTCTTTTACATGCTTTCATGAGTATAGCAGACCATTTAGGAATTGAATTCATGGGTAAGTTTTACCTTCTCTTCCTTTCAATTGCTGAGATTTATCTTGTTTCCTTAGTCCAAAGAACATGGAAGTTAATGGGAAGGCTCCCGTGACCTCCACCACTGGGTTTTGGACTGAGTTCTTTTATACTTGCCAATTGCATTTGAAATTATATGAAGGTTTAATTTTTTCTCTTTTCCACTGCTATGGATCTTAAAACCTACATAATGATGTTTTACTATTCCATTGGTATTTAATGAAACATAACATAAAGGTTATGTGACCATATAATCTTGAGGAATAGTATTTTATATGTGATTTTAGGGTAGAGTTACTAACTTTTTCATGTAGGTGAAAGTAAATTTTAAATCAGATTTTTTTTTGTTAGGAATTTGTTGGTAATTGCAATATTAATAAGGTATAATAAGAAACATCTTATTAAATATAATTCAAATCAGAGAAATGCTTTTAAGAAAAGAGTTAAAAATCCATCATTCTGTGAAAAAAGTTAAATTGGTTAGAAAAAAAGCTAAAAATGGAGTGAATAATTTCTCCTTACAATTTTGGAAAGGAAGATAACATTCTGTTGGCTCAGCTGCAGCTCTGTGATGTGTTCATAGCCTGATGGAATGACAGGCTTAACAGATCACCTCTCAGCTGGTGATCTTCAGGCTTCAGGAAGCTGAGATCCATCTTTAACAGAGTTAGTGGTCCTTTGTGTAAGAACAGCTTGCATAAACCATTAAATATGAATGAAAACACTGTAATAAAAAGCATGCAATTTCCTACTGAAGTCACAAAACAGTTACTTTTAATATGCTCTTTCCCCATGCTAAGTTTTACTTGACTTTTTTAGATTTTATAATTAAGAGCCTTATAACCTATCAGTTTTAAGTTCCAGCATGGGGATTTTGTTGACCACTTAAGTATAAATTGCCAAGAACCCAGTAAGGTGATGAATATTAACTGCATGGCAGGCTACAGGAGCAAAGGTGCCAGCAGGTTTTGGGATTTTGTCCTCCTGCTTTTGGGTTTGTGCCAATCCTTGGGCACTGTTCTCTCTGGGGAGCTGGTTCATGAGGCCCAGAAGTTTTGTGTTTCACTTCACCTTGTGTGAGGCTTGTGAAGGGCCAGTGGAATCAATGCAAGTGTCTTCAGAGACTTATTGGACAGGCACAGCTGGGGAATGGTTACTTGAAAGGCTCTGCAGATATCCTGCTTGTCCTGCTTAGCTTCAATTGTGAGCGGCAGTCTTGAGGCACACAAGTTGAAGGACAAGCATTTATGTAAAAGAGGATAAGGAGTATAGAGACATGGGATGCTTTGAGTGAACCTTTCTGTAAGAAGCAGGAAAGTGCAACCCAAGAGGCAAAGCTGAATTATTTTAATTTTATTTTGAGACTTTCAGTTTCCTCTCTTTTTTTTTAAGACATTTCTTTAAGGCATGAACTAAAGCCAATCCCTGAAATCCTGGCTCAGAATAGTCCTCTCAGTTTTTTTAATTTAATATTGGAGCAGATCCTGATGGCATAAAAACTAATGAAATCTTGTATCTCAAGCCTGAAAATATTATGACAGCAGCCTAAAATGATGCTTGAAGTTGTTTTCTCTGGGCTAGAAAAATGCAAGTTCTGGAATCATATGCAGAAGTGAAATGCTTGTGCTTCTTAAATCCTCTTCTGGTCTTCATGAAGATTTACTTAGGAAATGAAAGCATACATGGAATCATTGCTGTATCTGTAGCAAATCCACAGCCTGTGCAGAAAGTTCAGATGACAATGTGCTCATCAAATTAGGGGCACTTCTGTAAAGCCTCTACTTCTGGACTGTAGAAAATAATGACAATTAATGCAAAGTGTGTTGTCTAGCTAGAAAAAAAATCAATGTAGAGACAGTGCTGAACTTGTTTTGTTTGTATGTAATCCAGAGAACACTCTTGTTTTCATAGCACTTGTGGGCTCAGTTGCCTTAGAAATTCCATTTTCATCATCATCCTACAGAAATTTTGTTTGAAAACCATGTAAACCATTTAAGTTGGATTGCCAGGGCCAGCTGAATTCCTTCCATGGTAGCTAAAGCTGAAACCTCATGGCAGTGGGAACATCTGTCTGTAGAGGTGTCCGGGAGGACAGATGAAATGTGCACTGAAACTACACCCCTACTTTAGTGTACTTTGCCAAGGAAGGTATATAAGTGTGGGGTTTTGGTTTGTTGGTTTTTTTTTTTTTTTTTTTTTCTTCCTAGACTCTCAAGGATCAGTGGAGTGTATATACATAGTCAGTCCTTTTACTGTCCTGTTAGGAAGCTGTAGTCCATGAATTAATTTATGTATCCTGTTGTGAACCAATTGGTGCTGTTTTCCCCTACAAGTTCCATGGCAGCCCATCCCAGTGCTCAATAGAGGCAGTGCCTGTTGCTTTTCCATTGATTTGGTTGAAATCTCTTTCCTGAGGACCCTTCTCTCACAAACAGTGCTTTGGGAACAAGAATTATGCATTCATAATTTTGTGTTAACCTTTCTCATGGTCTCACACCCCCTTTCCTGTCTGGGTCTTGTCAGGTTTGTGTTCCATACAATATTCCATATTGTGCATTCCAAAACTTGAATACCTGTTACTTTTATATTGCTGCTGATATTGATCTGCACTGGCTGTTTCTTTGTATGGATAACAGAGACAAAGAAAGGCATATTGATGTGGCAAATCTGTTTTAAAATGTTGCAAATGTAGCAATTAATGTATGGTTCTGATGTATTCATGTGCAGCACCACCTGAATTAAATTAAAGCCAAGTATGTGGTCAAGGGACATTATGGCCTTAAAATTGTGGATTGAAATATTGTCATCAGTGGTCCAGCTTTATGAAACTTCTGGTGATAAAGAAATGGTTTATACTTTCTAGTACATCAAATCCAAAAAAAAGTCTGGTGTTTGATTGTCACTTGATTCAATATCCATCTCTGCTGCAATCTCCTGGACAGGCTTTGGGCAAGGTCGTTTAATCTGTCTGTGCTTCAGATTCTCAGTTGCAGTAAGTTTTTTCAGGCTTTCTGAATTTAGATTCCTCAGCTCTCAGGGGGCTATCTTTCAGTCCCACAGAAACTATTTCTTCCTTGTGAGGGGGTGCAGACTTGGCTGTGTCCTCTCCCCATCTCACACAGGAGCAGAGCGGTGTGAGGAGAGCACCCAGCAGCTCACCTGCTCTGCTCTGGTGCCCTGTGTCTCACCTGTGAGGATACATGCAATTTTATGCACATTCCAACACAAAAGTTAGGAAAAGTTGTCACCGTGGTCTTACAAACTGGAAACATGAGCAGCATTAACAATTCTGTGTCAATGGGAAGCAGGCTGGTGGTTGGTAATGTGTAAGTGAGCAAGAGATTGTTAAAAAAAATAATAATCAAAAGAAGCAGCTGTTATACTTTTATACAATGAAAAAACTGAGTGATGTATCATAAGCATTAGAGAGCATGGGGTTACAAGTATCTACAGCTTATAATAATTTTGTTTACCCAAGTGGTTAACTGCACTTCAGGGCTGAATGGTTTACCTTTCTGGTGAAAATGTTGTTGATGAGGGAAAATATCTCTGACACGGTCACTTTGGAGCAAGAGGTAGCAGCTGAAAGCTGCTGTGGAACACTGGCCTGCTGCATGTTCTCCCAGCTGCAGAGTGAAATTGTTACCTGAGAGTCACCTGTGGATGTTGTGAGCTGCAAGCCAGTGCCTGAGACAAGGAGTTGCCTTTTCAACTCATTTCTTACACTGAGGATAAGTGCAGTTAAGGTGTGCTAAGGCATGAAACATAAAGGTGAGTATTAGAATAACCTGCTACAACACAGGAACAAACATGACTGTTTCTGCAAGTTGCCTACACCAACTCTGATGATCCAGAATGCTGATCTTTTATGCTGTAACAGTAATTTATGGTGGATACAGGTAGAAATAAAATGCTCCAATAAAGTGCAATTTTTGATGGAAATACAGACATAACATGAAGTAGTCTTCATCCTTGGGTTCCTTACCAGTTAACCGAGTATCAGTGGTGTAAACAATTCTGGTGTGATAATCTCAATCTCCCCATGCATTACAGAAAATATAGCAGTTGTTATATACAGTCACTACTTTTAATTTGTTTATTCTTAAGTCTTAAACAGAAAGTTAATTTTTTTTTCCTTAGAACTACTCATCTTTTCTGGAAAAATCAGGAGCTTCACTGAAGTCAATGCAGTAACTGAATTCAATGGAGTATGAATGGTATATAATATCTTGTAAGTGCTGAATCATTAAATAGCATTTAATTGAGCAGAGTAATAAAGTAACTCAAGAATGGGCTCCTATTAAACTTTATATATCTCCTTGCCATGACTACAATGTGAAATGTATTCTGTTTTCTGTAGTCTGAGCAGCTGTTAACAGTGGAGAAGATGGTGCATGCTGTATTTTCACTGTGCCTATTCTTGCTGCCTCCTCATTGTGCTAAGATGATGTCAGACTCTGGGAATACCTGCTCCAGTTAACCAGATTGACTCAGTGACCTTGTGTCACACACTGTGACTGATGCATTCTGATTTTTACAAGCTGCAGAAGTTGGTTTTGCTGATGGGTATGATAACCAATAGTGCAACAACTTAGTATTTTCCCAGTATGCCAGAAGTAAAAAGGCAGAGTTCATTAGTCCTTGCACAGCTCAAAAACTGGAAACCTGGATTCTTTCCTCTGAAACTCAATGTTTTGCAGTAGCAACCAGAAAATTATAATAAATAACCAGTGTGTGCATGGATGGTCCTTACCTTTGTTACCATTTAGAAGCTCTTATCTGTTATAAAACGCTGTAATGCTCCAGTCCTTGCTGGAAGAGAGGATGAATGAACATTCCTTGAATTTCATGACCAAAAGTGTGTGTGTTCTAAAGGATATATGTTTAAAAAATAAATTAATTTCAGTTTGCCCTGTATTCCTTTTAATAGTATAAAGCGGGTAGATCTTTTGCTGATAATATGGCCTACTGACTGTTTTATGCA